GATTGAGGGGGGGTCCCCTGCCCGCGCCCCCCACCCCGGCCGTGGGACAGCACCGGGGCCGTGGCTGCTCCTGGGAGCCCCCCAAGTTTGGGGGTGCTGGTTTAACCCCCCCTCGCTGTGTGTGTGTGTGTCCCCCCCCAAATCATTCACTGCCCACCCCCAAACCCCCCCAACAAGTGATGTGCCCCCCACACCCTCCTCGGGGGGCTCTGCTGGGCCCCCCAGTGCGGGGGTCCGGGGCTGGGAGCCCCCCCAGCTCCCCGCCCGGTGCCAAATTGGATCCATCTGGAGGAGCCGGGCGGGGGGCCGGGCTGGGAGGGAAAGGGGGGGCCCCCAGCCCGGGGAAAAGCAGAGGGACGAGTTCACGGAATTGGGGGGGCTGCAGCTCCCACACCCCCTCCCAGCCCTTCTCCCAAGGGAATTGGGGGGGGGGTCCCCCCTTTCCAACCCCCCCAGACCCGGCTCACCACCACCAGGAGTGCAGGAAGCCGGGGGGCTCCCCCAGCGTGATGTTCTTCTCCCATCGGATCTGCAGAGAGGGACACGGGCAGGGGGGCTCAGCGACCCCCGCCGGGCACGGGTGGGGCTCCAGGACCCCCCGTGGGTGGGACGGGGGGTCCGGGGGTGCTGCCCTCCCCCCAATTTACCTCCGACAAGAAGGTCTGGGCGGATTTCTGGGCCCCCACGTGCAGCAGGTACTCGTAGACGTAGAGCGCCAGCCTGGGGGGGACAGGGACAGCGTCAGGGACCTGCCACCCCCACGGGTGACAACCCCGCCCCACGGACCCCGAGGGACGCGGGGAACGGCCGGGATGGAGCCCCCCACTCAATTAGCCCGGAATTAATGAAGGGGGAGGCTCGACGCCACCTCCCTGCGAGGGACCCCGGCGGCGACACCGAGTGACTCCCACCGGTGACACCGAACGCGCCCCGGGCAGCCCAGGACAGGCGACACAACCCGCGCAGGATGTGGCTCGGGGCCGAGTGCCACCCCGCGTGTCCCCGGTGGCACCCACGGAAACCCAGGGCCCGGTCCCCGGTGCTCCGTTCCCCGCCCCGGGAGCAGGAACGGGACCCGCGGCGGTTCCAGCCCCGGGGGCCGCGGGGACACGGCAGGACAGGGACAGCCGGGAGCGGCGGGTCACGGCCCCGGGCACCGGCAGCGGAGCAGCGGCAGCCCCGGTGCCATCTCCGGTGCTGCCCCCGGGGATGGCACGGCCGGCGAGGGCTCCCGGTGCCCTGAGGGATGCTGCGGACCGGGCTGCCGGTAGTCCCGGTGCCCCGGGGGATGGCAATGCCCGGGGGGACCACCCCGGGTCCCGGTGCCCCGGAGGATGGCAGGGACCGGGGGCACGGCCCAGCTCAGGGCAGGCACGGTGCGCCCGCGGTACCCCGGCGGACGGCACGGTCCGGCGGGATCGTCCCGGGTCCCGGTGCCGCGGGGCACGGCACGGTCGGGGAAGGGGCATCCCGGCTGCCGGTGCCCCCGGGGATGCCGCAGACCGGGGAGATCATCCCGAGTCCCGGTGTTCCCGCAGCTCCCGGTGCCCCAAGATGTGGCAATACCCGGGGGGCACATCCCGGCTCCCGTTAGCCCCGGCGTGATCGCGGCTCCCGGTGCCCCGGGGGATGCCACGGACCCCGGCACATCGCAGCTCCCGGTGCCCCGGGGGATGTCACGAACCGAGGGCAATCATCCCGGCTCCCGGTGCCCCGGGAAGTCACGGACCGGGAAGATCATCCCGGTTGCCGGTACCCCGGGGAATGGCACAGATCGGGGGGAATCATACAGCTCCCGGTGCCCCCGCAGCTCCCGGTGCCCTGGGGGAGAGCACGGACCGGGGAGCTCATCCCGGCTCCCGGTGCCCCGGGGGAGAGCACGGACCGGGGAGCTCATCCCGGCTCCCGGTGCCCCGGGGGAGAACACGGACCGGGGGAATCATCCCGGCTCCCGGTGCCCCGGGGGAGAGCACGGACCGGGGGGCTCATCCCGGCTCCCGG